TTCTCTTCAATTCATGCTAGCTTAACTCTAAAATAGTAAAGCAGGGACATTTGTGAACATCATTAAGTGTAGAGATGTAGTTTTGGTGCTTTTTCGGTAGTTCCCACCCCCCTTATTTGAGCCTGACCTACATCGAGATCTATACGTTTGATTCGCGGCAAGCTAAGATATCAAACCTAACAACTGCAAAACATTAAATTGTGGTAAAATTCAGGGGGACATGAAACCCCCCCCCACCATTTTTTTTATTAGGTCAGGGGGGCAAGCCCCCCTGAAACCCTCCTACTCTTGGGGCAAAAACCGGCGAATAACAATTGCTGGGTGGGAACTACCGAAAAAGCGCCGTAGATATGTACTCACTAAAATCAAAACGGTCCAGTGGCTGGGCTGGGGTTAACCCTTTTATGACACAGGATCAATTTTTGTTTCATCGGGCAGAATTTTGGGTCCCCAGGGACAAAATGTCTGTTCTAAAAATATTAGAGTAGCACTTGATTCAGCGGTTGATTGCTTATAAGAAGAACTTGTTTGTAAATTATGTCAAACTTTCGGGATAAACTATCAGTGAATTGAAATCTGCAATAATTAGTTTTACGTAGCACATCTAATAGAAGCAGTACGGAGAGTACAAAATGTGAGAAGCAGAGCTCATCATTATGGTCCTCATGCTTTGCAAGGCAAATGCCCCTCATCATAGCAACATCTTGCTTCTTTCGCTTCATTAATAAAAAAAAAAAAAGATAATGAATGGCACTCATCATATAAGTCACAAAGGGATGAAATGAGTAAAACAAAAGACAGTTCCCAGCATGTTTTTAACGTGAAGTTCCTCACTATTTTTTTTTAACATTTGTTTCTCAGTTCCATGACGGAGTGTACCTGATTATTCTGATGGGGCTCCTGGAGGGCTACTTCACCCCCCTCTACCAGTTCCATGTGACTCCCACCACTTTCGAGCACAAGGTAGGTGATGAACTGTTATTTTTCCAGTCTCTCAAATGGGATGAACCATTTCCTTTACCTTGTTTTCAACAGTCAGCGATGGTGACCCGTACAAACTTGTAACAAGTTCCTCAAAAACTTTTATTTGTTTCAAATAACAAGGCTTAAGGTACCTTTAGATTCTTTAGATGTAACTGATTTTACAGTACAAGTGAAAGTAAAACTCTGAAGCAGGGTTCGAACTCTAAATATACAGTCGAACCTGCCTGAATGGTCGCCTCTCCATTGTGGTTTCCTGTACTAACGGCCACTGCTCCATGACACCCTTGGCATTTTTTATCTCTATTTTAACCTGTCCTGCAAGTGGATGGTTGGCAGTGCTCTGGTGTGGTTTGCTCCTTCTTTCCTATCAGACATCTGTCATCCTGATCTCTCCTTCTTCTTTTTTGTGTTTGTTACTCTCTTGTAACAGCTCTATTCTTTGGCACTTATATATGACCTTATTGTGTTGCAAGTGCCCTAAAACTCTTGCTAAAAACTAACCTGTACATAGCAGTCCCTGTCCACGGTCAGTCGTTTTCATGACTAGTTGTCCTCAAAACCTGCTTTAAAGGGTCACTAGCTACAACCGTTTTATGCCAACCCATCCTCAGACTGAGTGTATACTTGCAATCAATGCACGGACTTACTCAGCATAAAAGAGCCCCAAAGACCTTGAAAGATCAAAGACATATCAATGTTTAAGAATGGTGTTATGGGGGGAGGGGGCGGGATCTTCACACAAAATATTTTTGCCCCAACTTCTTTTAGCAGAATATTTTAAGCCATTATTGCAAATTTATGGTGACCCGTCTTTGGCGTATTGTTGTCGTATGCAGGGCGATCGCGTTGATGGGAAATCACTCGTGTGTCACTATAAATTTTATTAATATTATATGAGTTGCCTCCCCTGTTCCACAAATCGTTTTTTGCTTCTTTATGTATAACAATGATGAGTTATTTCCCTTGGCCCCAATGGCCATCAATTTCGGGCGGTGTATCGCGACTTCTTTCTCCCATTCCATTCCTCTCCATCAATTTAGTCTTCTTATATTCATTACTCACATTGATGTTTGTCGCGTCCAGATGTGTGATAAGTTTATTGCCTTTGAAAGGAAGTCAGTTTAGTCACAAGTTAACTGTTTCGCAGCTCTGCTTTCCAGCTGGGTGATGCATTAATCGCCTCAATTGTCAGAGAGACATGAGGGGGGGGGGGATTTTTGGAAATGTAATATGCCCCTATCAACACAATTTTGATAATTTGGGGGGGGGGGGTGCATCATCTTATCCCAACAGATGGACAGAAATACTTCATTTAAAATAAAAAATAAAAAAAGTTAGCTTTAGCTTGGTTTTGGAATGATTCACCGGCAGAGGTGGGGGGGATCTTGTGGTCCAGAGGTTACTGTGTTCACCTCTCATTCAATAGGTCCCGCGTTCGATTCCGGATAGTAAAGGAAAATTTTCTTCTCTAAAATTGTTTCCTTTCTCCTCCTTTCCTGCTCTCTAACAATTTTCTGTCCTCTGCTTTCATCTCCACTTTCTGTCCTCACCCTCTCACCTCCTTTGCCCCCTCCTCTGGGCTCCTGACTCTTTCTGCAGCCTTTTTACTGCTACTCCTTGGCTCCTTCCTACTGCTGTCTTTCAGACACACCTTTCGTCTGATAAATGCAGACTTTGACCGTCACCCGGACGAAATTCAGAATTCTCTGCTTTCATCTCCACTTTCTGTCCTCACCCTCTCACCTCCTTTGCCCCCTCCTCTGGGCTCCTGACTCTTTCTGCAGCCTTTTTACTGCTACTCCTTGGCTCCTTCCTACTGCTGTCTTTCAGACACACCTTTCGTCTTATGGTAGTTAAGATCTAAGACCAAGCCTTCTCAGATAAAGGCAAAAAATTCTCGAGGGTACCGTGTGAAAGTTGCGCATGTTAAAGATCCCTTGGTGGTCCAGAATCGATAAGTGCAGACTTCGACCGCCACCCGGACGAAATTCAAAATTAATTCCTTCCAACTGAAAATGTTTAATATGTTCTGCGCGCTCATATGGCCTTATGCAGTTGCGAGTGCCGTAAAACATTTATTTACTAAAACAAAACCAAAAACAAACAAACCCGCTTTAAAACCTCCTCGCCCATTGTCCGGAACGGCCGCTAGACACATTGACCTTGTCTCTGTGGTCATAGCGGGTCACGACCCTCAACAAAACGACCACCCGAAGACTTATGAACGTACGCCGCTGCTGCTAGGTCTGATGATCGTTCTACGGGTGCTTTACGCTACACAAGATGAAAGCAAAGATTCTCCACTGCACACCAGCTGAAAAAAGCTACCCCCACCGCAACCCCAAAAAAATCCAACCTTTATTCGGACGGACGGAGAGAAAGTGTAATTAGTGAGCTTGCACTACTAAGCCCCGTGGATTATGTTTATGGCTTGTTCTCAAGCCTTCCTCTGTCCCACGGCGCCCCATCTCTTCATCGCTTCCTTTCATGTCCGGCCATTGAGTTTGGCAGCTAAGCCTCTGGCCTCACCGGCTACCCGGGGTTGCTTTTGTCGGTCGGCTCGCCTGTACTGTATGCTTGTTTTCTCGGTGAATGGCGCGGGGTAGAAACGACGGTCGACCCTTGAACATCCATCTCGAGTTGTTGGATTTGCACCTTTTGTTTTTTGGTGTGTTTTTTTAAACATTTTTTTATTTTCCCTTTTTGGAGATGTTTGAAAGCCATCATCATCATCTTCTTGTTCCTTGCGTCTGAACCCAACCAGTCCATTTTGCTTCTT